CGCTAAACTGGCATGTAGAAAAGCGTTAGTAAGAGGAAACGTTGTAGCCAGAAATAATAAAAGATCGGATCTAATCTAAGGCATTTAATTACGAAAACACGTTCGAGCTTGAAATCTAGAGCTACATCCAGAACAAACCTAACGTTTGCACTGAACTGGCTCCGGTTTGGACATGAACGGCTCTGCCCTGCCTCCTATTGTGCCCGCCCCTTGAGGGAAATGAACCAATCAGCACGCGGGGTACATTTGATTGACACCCCGCTGACTGAACGGATTCCAAAGCAGAGCTCAAGCACTAGAAAGCAGCTCTCCCGAGACTTCCTCTTGAAATTAGAAGCAAGTGGTGTTTCTTTTTGCACATGTCGTTGTTCTAGTTGTCACACAAACATGTAACGAGGGAAATATTGGATTATAAATGGAAATCCAGCGGTTAATTCAATCATGAAGCTACAAAACCTTTAATAACGCGACTCTCTGGCTGCGTCCCAAACCGCATCCTACCGCCCTAAATAGTATGTAGTGTTAATACTGGGTTTATCCGTCTGCCCTCATCGGCTTGTGGAAAAAAATGGCCGCTAAAAGTGCAACGCATTTTGTCGTGATTTTTTAAACCTTTATTTAGCTCTTTCTAACCAAAAGCAGTTTTATATCGAGGTTCTTCCTTGCCATAAGAGAGACTCTTTTTTTTTTTCTGTTGTAATGCACTTGTGTTTGTTATGTAGGTCAGGCCAGGCTTAAGCAGCTTTACTGAACCTGCGTCAGCTTAAGCTGAAAGGAATTTGAGCAGAGCCCTCCCCTATAGGCGTGGGCCTAATCGAGGCTGGCCTAGTTAAGCCTGATTTTTTTTTTTTCCCCCTCACGTTTCTCTGCGTGGAGTGTGTGTGGCTGTGTAACAGAACCAGCACAGAAACTCAACACACGTGCAAGTGTTTTCAAGAGAAAGACAAACAGACAGATAGTACAGGGCAAAAAAAAGCCAGGGAGAAGACACTAGTGGAAAGAGGTGAAGAAAACAAGCAGAGCCTAGAGCAACCAGGACCAGCTTAGAACCAGGATGACTGCCTTGTTTATGACAAGCAGCATGGTGGGCAAGGCACGCTCTTCAAACTTTACTCTGTCTGAGAAACTGGACCTGCTGCGCCTGGTTCAGCCACACATCCGCATTTTGGAGGAGCACACAAACAAGCATGCCGTGATTGTGGACAAGAACCGGTGCTGGGAGAGCATAGCCGAGCGCTACAACAGCCTGGGAGGAGAGAGGCCGCCCCGGACAGCACAGGGGCTCCGGACCCTGTACAAACGACTCAAAGAGAGCGCCAAACAAGAAGTGGTCCAGCGGAGCCACGCCCAGCCTGAGTATCGGAGCAGCATCTCAGAACCAACCAAACGGATCATGGAGATGATCCCACATCTGTTTCACGCAGGGGACAAAGAGCACAACACGCTCCACAGGTGAGGACGAAGAATGCATGTTTGCACATAACTAGATGGATATAACAAAATGGACATAACACAGTACACAGAAGCACATGCATAAACACACATGATGGGAAACTTGTGCACAGTGAGGTTAGGTGAGCATCATGTAGCATTGGTGTGATTAAACCTACACCTACTTTAGTCTTGTGCTTATTAGTCTCAGTTCCAGCACATACATACATGTGTATATATATCCACACATCTCACCAGTTTAAAGCCCATATTTAAGATGTATTGGTCATTATCAACCAACAAAGCGTATAATACAAGTTATGGTTTGCAGTAAAAAGCATTACTTTTCAAGTTTAGCCCAAATGATCCTGTGAAAAGCATAGTACATCTGTCATACTTTTTCTCACTTTAGAAGGTAAATTACAACTTATGATTACTTATCTAGTATACGTTGTAATTTTTCAGGCTCTTTTAAGACTTACAGAATGGAATATTATCACAATTTAATTATTATGAAGTTCACCATTCCTAACTCTTCCCTGTAGTTCGATAATCGTGGTCCCATCTGCCCCTTTTGTGTCTATAACCAATCTGTTTCCTTTACATTGGTGCACCTGTGTTTGGGTTTATAAAGCCCCATATTCTCCTTTCTTTACTCCAGACTGCTAGACATGGCTCTTTAGTAATATTAGTGCTCGTGATTATGGTGGTGGGTGGTTACAGCAGATAGCTTAAATGAGTTCAACATCTGATTTTACATGCTTGAAACATGAAAGGCCATATATGTAAAGTTATTAAAGGAAAACTCCACCTTTAAAACGTATTCAGAAACCAAAATATACGCGTTGTGCGTAGTGGTTCTGGTGATGTTGATTAGTGCTGTATGTATGTTACTCCTTTTGAGAAGTTCCTGTGTGCCATGTTGAAGTCACATTGCTAGCACAGTTACAGTGCCTTTAAAGAGTAGAAAAAATGTCAGTTATCTCAAATGTAAGGGGTAAAGGTCAAGTTTTTCTCCTCAAAACAAAAGTGCAAAAGCTTCTTTTCTCACTTCGTTCCTGCGACATTCAGTGAGAAATTCAATGTAGGATTAGTGGAGACAGCAAACGTTGGACTTAAAGTTCCAGAATGCAGTGCTGCTCTACGACGCAGTTGCGCTGAGTGGACCAGCTAGTCAGTGGTCTATGAGAGTGGCGTGCATGGCGGTGTTAGCATGACAGTTGAAGCTTTTGAAGGTGATGGGTTTGAGCAGAATGTACAGAGCTGAACAGACTAAAGGAGTAAAGCCCTGCTGCATTGCTCTCTTTACGCAGCGATGAGGCAAGGGCTAAACCCCGCTGGCACCACTAAGGTAGGCAGGCAGGTGGTCGAACAGTATTGTGTCTAATGTAGGACAAAGTGAAAATAGACTAAAAAGTTGAGATTTTGCACGTTATTTATAAAGATTAAAATGCTTATCCTTCAGGGTGGGTTTTTCCTTTATGATTAAAATAAAAAGTGTGAAATAACATTTATAAATATACACTGATCAGCCATAACATTAAAACCACCTGCTTAATATAGTGTAGGTCCCCCTTGTTCCTCCAAAACAGCTCTGACCTGTTGAGGCATGGACTCCACAAGACCTCTGAAGGTGTGCTGTGGTATCTGGCACCAAGACGTTAGCAGCAGATCCTTTAAGTCCTGTAAGTTGCGAGGTGGAGACTCTATGGATCGGACCTGTTTGTCCAGCACATCCCACAGATACTCAAACCGATTGAGATCTGGGGAATTTGGAGGTCAAGTCAACACCTTGAACTCTTTGTCATGTTCCTCAAACCATTCCTGAACAATTTTTGCAGTGTGGCAGGGCGCATTATCCCGCTGAAAGAGGCCGCTGCTATTTGGGAACACCGTTGCCATGAAGGGGTGTACTTGGTCTGCAGCTATGTTTAGGTAGGTGGTATGTGTCAAAGTAACATCCACATGAAAGCCAGGACTCAAGGTTTCCCGGGCAGAACATTGCTCA